GGAAATTTTAAAGACTCCTCAAGGGAAATGCATATAGTTGATGATGCTCACCTTACCTCGGAAAAATTATTGTTTTAGTTCTCTTCATATTGGGAAAAAAAGAAAAGTGAGTCTAAATTAATAATTCTTTGTCAAATCTACAGTAAACATTCTTGGGAGCCCATACAGAATTCCATGGCCTGATTAGAAAGCTTGTACTCAGAGCTCAGTTGAGCTATTTCTTGCTAAGACATTACCCCTTTTGAATGAACTTTTTTTGAAGTAGAAAAAATGGTCACCCTTTTTCCTTCATTCATTAAAATCACTTCCAGAAATCAAATACCCCCTAAGGATAAGGCTACTTTTACTGAACTCTACTGACATACTGTTTTGCTTCTTTACTAAACAAACTAAACTAAATAAATTACTCAAGAATACTTGCCAGTTAAAAAAAGAATTAAATCAAATCAAATAAAAAAGGAATTTGTATTTACCTTTTAGTGAATAAAAAATCTTCAAAAGTATTGGCTAGCTCTGGCCACATACTGTCAAATTTTCCAGAAGATGCATGCTGCCTTGCAACTGGTAGTCCAATAGAAAGAACTTTGAGAAGAGAGGACACTGCTAGTTTCCACGTGCTTTCAGAAGGACAAGAATATTTCAAACTAAGAGGTATTCTCAGCGTCTGCAAAAAGAAAGTTCAAACAAGACTTATACTTCAATTTCTCTGAGCAGCTATAAGACAACTCTCTAGAACAACTCAGTAGATATTTTCATAGCTGACAGTACGAATCCTCTTTTTTTCCTCTTTTAATATAATTACAAAGATTATTTACTGTATGCTAGCTGGCTGAGGCACAGATCTGTTACCAAGTATAAGGTTGGGAGGCAGAGTTGATCCATTACCAATTACACTCAAAATTACCTGCTAATTTTCTTTTTCTACATTACCATCTACTATTTCTGCTAACTCTGACAAACAGACTTTCATAGCATCTAACAGATTGCAGGCAGTTCATCATCATGAGTCTACTATGGAGAGTTTAGTCTTTTTCCTAGAAAGTTGTCTCACGTGCTTCCAAAGTAAAGAAAAAAAAACCCCACTGAGATTAAACTTCTTCTAAAATGCAAAAGTTGAACTGTATACATCACTGTAAGACATTGGGTCATTACTGAACGTAAAACCAGATGAAGTTTACAAATAAAAAGAATTAGTGAAATTCCAAACATTAAGTCTGCAGCATAACTCAAATGTATAGCAGATAAAAAACACAAGAAATCTTAAAAATCTGTTGAGAGAGAAAGATAGCTTTAATATCTATACAGGAAACTCCTTAATGATAAAACATCTAGCACACGTTTGCACTGTATTTACTCCTTTTAACACTGTTAGTCAAACAACAATCAGTCAACTAGGAGCTGATACCAACTTATCTTGGAAATCTCAATTCTTAATTCACATTTCAACTATACTTTGACTAAATTCTGGTATTATGTACATGTCTAATGCATTTAAGGAGATCTCTAATTTAAGGGAAGCAAAGGCTATTTGAAAGCGGCTACTCACTCTCAAGAGTCAGGTAACTGGAAATAATTTTGGGAATGGGGAGTTATGAGAGACAGGAATTAATCCTAGGGAAAAACAGAATATTCTTCTTGTGATACTATTGTTTGCAGGGGTCAACTCTTATTCCAATGTCAACATGGGCTTTAGAGAAATGGCTAATCCTTTTAAAAGTGTTTTCATCTACTGCAGTGGAACACATCATCATCAACTTTCTGAACTTTACAGAGAAGTGGCATTTATATCAGTTTCAACCTATTTTCCATTGAAATAGAGGTGGAAAACAGTTGTATTGAAATATACAAATTTAATTCACAATGGATTATAAATGATACCACACAATTATTTTGAGCATATTTGTGTCTTTAAATTTAGGTACAGGAACTACCTGAGGCCAGGCAAAAGTCATCACAAACAAATCAAGGTCCCACATACTTACTTTTTTTTTTTTTTTTTTTTTCTTAAAACAAACATTTATTACTACTTCGATTATTTGCCAAAATCATTTCCTAAAATGGAAATAAGGTCAAAAAAGGTTAACAGTTTGGTGATTCCTCCTTAAAAGCCCATTTGTGTGCCCATAGGATTCTATAGCTACATCAGTCACACACAAGGGAATTAAGTGCACAGCAAAATTAACAGACAGAACACACGCTCATAAATATATGCTGCAGTAGATAGCTGGTTTTGAGAAGACTGTGTCTAGTCTTCGATGCAATACTTACAGGGTCAAACTAAGAGGCCTGCTTTTCAGATGCTGACTTTCAAAGTCAAAGATTACTATTTTGTGGCCAAACATATCTTTCAAATTTTGTCTCAACTTTGAAATAACAATGCTGACATTATTATATCATCCAGCTAAAGAACAAGATTTACAGCCTAATCAATAGCTTTGCAGCATCAAAAGAAACTATCCCCTGCCCAACTTCATAAAAAAGTCCATTTGTTAATGAAAGCTTTAAACTTCACTGAAAGCACTTGCCAACATTACCCCCAAATGAAACTCAGAGGTTTCAAAATAAATTCATTAATTCACAACATAAGCATGACACAAACTTCTACCTTAATAATGTTCTGAAGAACTTTCTCATTTACCACAGCTTTATGGCAAGCGGTCTTTTGGTACAAGTCCACAACAACTTCCAACGACCTCTCAGCAAACGGTACATAATTCAATGCTACCCACTCCGCCTAGGGAAAAAAAAAAAACAGTAAATTAATGACCTATCTATGAAAACACACTAGTTAAGGAATTGAAAATGTATATTTCGCATTGAACTCTCCATTTAAGGCATGCAAGGCTTGCTAAGAAAGTGGTCCAAGCAACAAAATTATAAATACAACACAGTCTGACTATGACAATGTACTCTACAATAAAGTAAAGTACATTTAAGTAAGAGAAATATTGCAGTCTATGCAAGACAACTACATTAGGACAATCTTTAAGGAAATTTAACTCACCGGTGCAAATAGTTGTATCTAGTGTGATTCCATTGTGTTGCAGGACAAACAGAATAAGAAGAATTAATACATACATAACAGTTACCTCTTAGATTACACTGAATTAGATTGTCATGCTTAGTGAACAGCAGAGTACACAGATTTAAAGAACTATTGAACATGTTCCGCTTCTCTACAGCATGTACAATACAAAAGTTGGTAGCTTGAAGGAATTTTCTCCATTCAAAATTATCGTGTCTTTCTACTAAGTTTGGTATCTAATACAGTATAAGTTATTTTAGATGAATTCATCGGATAAATTCAGACACGTTCACTACGTCTGGTGTCCATGCAAGACTTTTCCTACAGGGAGGAATACAAAGTATAAAAGAAAAGTAGAATTCTAAGAGAGCAAAAGAGGGTAAGAAAAGCATATTCAAAAAAAACCACCCTAATAAATTAACTCATTACACAACATGCACATCAAAGTTTTTACAGATGGAATAAACGCATCTTGATATACAACCTCTATCTGATGTTGAATTGTGTTCATCAGCCAAATGAAACAAGTGAGATTTCTAATAAATTACCTGATTATATTTTGCATTTGCAATATGTTTGGTTTCCAGCTGTCCATATTGTGGAGGCTTACAGGAAAATTCTACAAATGCCAATAGCTGGTCAAAGATTGCAGGATACATTATCTGCATATTTTCTGAGCCCACGCATATAGCCTACACCAAAACAAAAAACACAACAGCTTAGTAGGTATCTTGAGCTTCACCATTCAAGAATCTGCCTCAATAGTAGGACCTTCTAAAGAGAAATTACTGGTATCGCAAAAGGGAATGTTATAAAAAAAATACAGATTGTAAGTCTCTTAGCTATTTTTGTTAGCTACAAAATCTACTATTTTTCAGCCCATGATTGTGTTGTCGCAGCTTTAGAATTGTGTTGGCATAGCAAAATCAATCAACATGAACATAAACTGATTGCATAAATGCAGGATGAGTACTACATTACCACGCAGAAATTGGACTATGCAAGAGTCATGCTCTATAAAAGATAGTGTATAGTTTTAACTTTAAGGAAAATGAGTTTTGTTATTTTATTAAACCAAATTATGTTTCAAGATACTTAGCCATATACAGTTTAGCAAATACGGCTATCTCATTTGGTCTAATAAAAGATAACTTCTCCTTACAAACTCTGCTTTGACATGACAGCAGAACGTGGGACTTAATAATATAAGTCTTGTATGTTGATCTCAGCCACGTCTTCTTTAAGTTCTACTTCAAGGAATATTTACATCTCAGAAGTAATTCATACAACATTTTCATAAGTAGTCAAAATTTTATCTCAGAGAAAGAAATATAAATCAAATGAGAACCACATGACTTAGTGTAGCTGAAACTCATAATTTTGCTTTAAAATGGAAAATATTTTAGGAGGGGTGTACTTAGAAGTTGTCAATGGAGTATCAAGTTGTTATAGACTAATGATTTCCTGCTGCAATGCAAATCCTTAGGCAGAGCAAGAGCACTTATTTTCAAAGCCAGATACAATGATCCTATGAAGTTATCCCAATTATTTTATTTTAGATTAAATATTTTGCTCTTCCTTCTTCCCAAAGTCCTTCCTCTTAAAGCTGCAAAAACCCATCTATTTTTTGCTCAAAAAAAAAAAAAGCAGTGCCTTGGCCTGTCATTTTTCTCTGGGAGAAATCAAAATCTTTTTCCTTCAATAAAGGTCACCCATGACCCATTGTGGCCAAACTCACTCAAGGTGCAAACAGCTCCAAAGACGTCTGAGTGCAGATAACATAGCTGTCGGCTATGTTACATGAGCTACAACAGCAGAGAGGCTAGTGAATATCCTGAGGCCCCAGCCAAGAGTAGGAGCAAGCAATAGGGGCTACAGAAGTGATCGTTGCTAGATCACCCTAAGACCAAGCTGCACATTCAAGCAATCTACAACCTGCGAGAGAGTGCTCTCTGAATCATTAATAGCCTTCCCCCTTTCCTCAGCTTCCTGCAATGCCAAATGTGTGTTTTTTGACACTGGCCTGACGCCCAGTGAGCTTAGCCAACATTATGAATGCAGCTGAACACTCCTCCTCCTAAAAGGCCAGACTGCTTTTCCAGTGCTTGAGCCCAACAACTCTAAGGAAGAAGCCTGGATGCTAGACACTCATCTCCGGCAGCAGGCTAAAAGGTTAATTGCTGAGCTAACGTCTCTGATATGCTGTAAAACAACTTCAGCTGACATGCTGCTGCACTGAAGTCACTGCACTAAATGTTGACAGGTTAATGCAAGATTACATATATAAAAGGAGGAAAAGGATTTTATGGATACATGGGTCAGAAAGTGAACATCCACAAACCCCTATATAACACTCCCATGAACATAACTTACCTAAGCAGATCTTTAATATTACCATAATAGCACTTACAGAAGAGTACTATCTATAATGGCAAAATTTCAAAACATATTTGGCATTCATTCTACTTTTCTACTTCATTATTACTTAAGATCAGTGGCAACTGGTTCAAGGCACTACTTTTTCTGTAGTCTTGAACAAAAGCAACAATGACTTCTTATTTAAAGCTTCTGTATGAGTAGCTTCTTATTCTTAATATTTTATTAAATTCCTCAAAATTTTTATTTTACAAATAAGTGTTTTCCACCCATTAAAATAACAGTCTACTGGGGTATTTTCCACTGTTAAAATTAGTCATAAACTACTTACAAAAAAGGGGGAGGTTAGGTTAGCTATTTTTGAAAATTCATCTAGCTAGAGTTAATTTTCAAAGAGGTTTATGCTTTGACTGACACAGGGCAATATTTATCTAAGTATATGAAAAACTCAAGAATAGCCTAGCATAGCGTGTGACTACGGATGTTGAAGGTATTTTTAGGAGCTGCTTATAAAACAGTAGTAATTCGTGCACTAAGTGCATTTGTTTACATCCTTAAATAAAGAGATACGTAGAAATCAAGTAATACGCAGCAACAAAAACAAACAAAAAATACTCTGTAGAGTGTTGTTTTTTGTAAAAAAGGTCATGAAACTGCAGTTTTAGAAATCTGTTCTTGAAAGCGTTCTGTGATTAACTTTCACATTTTTCAACAGTTCAGACTTAACTTATGACTCTCGTTACAACTACTGTTGTGAACTACTATTATTTTTACAGCTCTCAGTGGCTAAGTCTGTACCGTCTCTGATGACGTGTGTAAATATCGTCTTGAGTTTACCACGCCATGTCCTCAAGAGGGTTGCATCCATACTGCTTAAAGAGGTAGAATTCAAATTTATTGGGTACATATATGCGTTCCTCTGTCTGACGAGCCAGCTGGCTCACTTCAGAGTTGACCCAGAGTGAATGCAGGTAGGCAGTGAAAATAAACAGAGAATTTGGGCTTGAGTACAAAATTTAACTGAGCTAGTAAGGCAATATAGACATAGCAATGATGCTTTTCTCCAGCTTTCATTCATACTTTTCCACAATGGTTAGAAAATGAGAGGCTGCAGCAAGGAAAAACCTCTTCAAAGGAAGAAGAATAGAAAAGAAGGTCAAATGAGGAATATGAAGAAGAACAACATGACAAAAAGGTCTAAAATGGGCTCAATACATGGAAGTCTGGAAAGAGAGCAAAAGCTCCCTTCTAGTTCTATATTCTTGAGCTACCAAGTCCTTTGCTAGTGCAGACAGTCACATCATAAAATCTCTATTTTTTATGCTATTCCAATTGCTAAGTTGTTCCAGAATTTCTTAGAAAAATCAGAATTGACCCAAATCTTCCTGTAACAGCAAAGAACAGAACTTAATCAGAATCCATATGCAAACATGTAACAAAGATCGTTTAAAATAAAAAAGATGATGTTAATATTTGCACTCTTAACTATGAGAGTAGCTCCTGTGTGTACACCTCAGAGTATTTATTTATTTCAATAGAAGAAAAAAAGATACCGTTGCATTTAGCAAAACTATTTTACAGATGGCCTTTGCTCCCCATGAGCCCTGGCAGGCTGCCTGGTCACGTGCGTTCTACTGCGTTACACGGCCTAGAGGAAAGATCGCCTGACTTTACAGAACTCACTAACACCAAAGTATATTTTAACTTATTTTTTAATGACATTAGTGCTGTTCTAAAAGTAATGTAACTGTAGTGGAGTAGGAAATATTGAATAAACTCAGGGTACCTAAGACTTCTAACTAAGGTCCTTATTTTCAAAGTAGCAGGCTACCTGTTTAGACTATGTGAGCATGTCTGTTTTTCAGGTTTTTTTTTTTTTTTTAAACTGTTTTAGTTGAAGTTTTCTTTAAGATCTTGATAAGAACAAGACTAGAGAGATTACACAAAAAAAGTATAGTTTCTCCTCAGGTTAGAAACTCTGGTATCCCTTTCCCTGAAAGGTGCTAATGCCTGCCAGCTTTGGGAGCTAAGAACATCTGGACAAGGAGGCTGGAATGAAATACAGAAATCTGAGGAGTGATTAAGCGAGGAAAATAGGACAGAAACAAAGGACAGGAGAGAACAGGACTTGGGCAGGGTTGACCTGCAGGAAAGACAAAGGTACAGAAGGATCAAGACCAACTGGAACAGGACTAAAATTTAGCTAATATGACTGGTCTTAAAACACTGTATTATTTATATCCCCATCTACAAAATAGATTTGATACTAACTTTGAATTTTCTAGCTCTGCTCTCAAAATACGTTTAGGAACACTTGTTAAACATGCAGCCTACAGGGATGACTGCAAGATAATGATTCTGCCTTGCTTGAGATAGGCCAACCCACAGTAAGCACAAAGAAAACAAGATATTGAATTGCTGCACATTAAGTAGATATCATGCATGCTATGAGCTGAATGAGGCAGGATCCTGTCTGAGGAAGAAGATTAAAAAAAAAAATGTATGATTGCATAGTTAAGTAAAATACATGAAAGCCCTAAGGGGATGAAGTCAGGTTACAAGGGTAGTTTTAATTCTGGCACTTCCTGAATACTGTTTTTTTTTTTTTTAAAAAAAAAAGCTTAATCTAAATATATGTTCTCACTTATTAACAATGTTATTTCTTTGCAATAAATAGATTTTCTGAAAGAACAATCACTTGTGCAAAGAGATGATTTACAATTCCAGAAAACAAAAAACATTCTTTTTTTACTGTCCAGTCATAGGACACCCTAGTTTTCTTTTTCTGATTCAGTTGCATGAATGGTGCTCTTGAGGACGAGTTCTATAGTAAGAATTCCTATAGCAAGATGTTGCATTTTCCTTAAACTACTGATTAATAAGGGGTAAGAGATTGTCTGCCAGAGACCTTTTCAGATTCTGTTTTGCATGAACTACAAGTTCTCAAAATCAAGATCACCATTCTTCCAGATTTTGTTTATGGCAGGACATGGGCAACATAAGGAACACTTCAGGGGGTGGATGGGAACATTGCCCCACCCCCACTTCCAGATCCTCATAAAAATACAATACTTTAAGAGATAGACAAGTAAACCGATAAAAACAAAACATCACCCTTTAAGGTATTTCTGCAATCAAGTGAAAATGCATTTGGTAAACATTACATTACTCCTTTTTAGGCAGAGCAGCTAGGTAGCACCAGGAATGGAGTTCTGATTGCTCTAGAAACAGTACGCTGTGCAGCTGTAAGTAATTAAACAATTAATGTGTAAGTCACTACACTGTAGCTCCAAGCAGAACTACTGAGACACAGTATAGTTCACCTTTCACCACACATTTGAAGTCACATTATTACCTTTTGCAAAACATCTAAAGCTGTAAGCACCGCTTCCTGTAAACTTGTCAAAATTGCTTCTGTGTAAGATGGAAGGATGAAAGGGGAAGCATCAGAACTGATCGGAACTGAAACAGCACCGTGTAAAATGACACCCAGCTTTTGGAGATCATCCATGCTGAAACCAGTCTTGATGTGCTGGTAAAGAGCTGGGAATATTTGAATTAAAGCTGTAAGAAAAGGCTGGCTGGGAATGAAAGTCAATTTATCACAAGTAATTGGAGGCTTTGTACTTTCTGAGCCAATCCTATACCAGCTGTTCCACGCCGCCCACCAAAGATTCAAATCTTCGATTTCATCTGTTACTACAGGTGGTTCAGATCCATTATATCTTCCAACTCTTTCTCCTATGGAGTCAGTTCTCATGAATGATCTGCCAAGACTAGTGGCAGTAGTTGTCCCTACAACCACAGGTACAGAAACATTGATAGCAGGTGGTGTGTCAGGTTTCTCTGAGTCTCGGACAGGAGAAACAATCTGCAAGATTTCCTGGAAGCTTTTCAGAGCAGCCAAGGAAACTTCATTATTTTTGCTGAGTGCTGCTGATTGGATATGATCAAGAAGAACATCCCAAGCTTGGGAAAAGTCTCCTATTTAAAAAAGAGGGAGAAAAAAAAAAATCAACTTGGAACTAGCTTGCTTGCTTTTTTTTTTTTTTTTTTTTTTTACCCTTTCTCTCTGAAAGGCTATTCATATAACATGTTACTCTAATTCAGAGAAGTGTCATGAGGTCAGGTGATTGTTTCATTGGCTTTCAGAATATATCATTTCAACTGTAACCAAAGAATACAACGCAATAGACAAACACACAAACGAGGCCATCACTCTTTATACCAAATTTGCTAGCAATACGTCACATACCATTGAGGTAAATACATTTTCTATGTTTTTGGAGAGTGGGACAGATTTTTCTTACGCGTATCAGATGCCTGCTGATTTCAAGAAGGGTTAAGCACATACAAGGAATACAGAGTCAAGTCTATAGTCGTGCAGTTTATAAGGATTTGATTTAAAAATACTATGATAATTACACTCTATAGTTAAGATTTCATTTTGGGGTACAAGATATTCAATAAATTCAAGATCATTTTAAGATCACTTAAGATTTTCATTAAATTTAGCCTTAGCCTTGCATTTTCTATGCCACTAATTACTGGTTCTCAATAATTACTATGTCCCTGTAATGTTTTCTTATCCATTCACTTTTATCTCAAATTTAACAGTCTCAATTCCATTACATTTCTTCACATAACTAATGTTCTTGATAGCTGTTAATATGTTGGTATCTGTATCACAAATAGCCAAAGACCATCTTATGACTGTGATTAAAATTAGTAAAACAATTTATTTTTAATTATGCATATATTAACTGCATGCTATGACATGGTGAAGGTATACTATGTAATTTGGAATTCTCTGTGCAAACTATTAAAGATGGGATATAAACAAATATAAAGTAACGTACATTAAGTAATCCTAGTTAATCTAATTAGGAAATGAAAAGTCATTCTGAAATCATATCAGAACATCTTTGATTAGAAGTCTAAACAGAAGCAAAACATTTGTTCTGTGCAAAACTAACTCACTGGCATGCTGCATTATATTCATTTAATTCAATATATTTATACTGTTCAATTATACTTACTAATAATACTATCTAATACCCTGGTAAATAACCTAATGCTTAATTTTTATAGTAAGAAAGAGAAAAAGGGCAAAATCAGAACCTGAAAACAAGTGAAGAGGAGGAAGTAATGATATCAAGAGAAAATAAAGGCTTCAAATGGGGAGAGAGAAGATTTTAAGGAAGAAAAAGAAAAGGTGAGCTCAATTCAGTTACCTGTAGCTGAGGAAGGGACAACAGTAAAGTAACTCAAATTAACACCACTGTGAAAGACTGAAACAGTGGGTGGGTGGGGAGTAAGGGGGTGGAAAAAAAAGAATCACTTGAAAGAGCATAACCTTAACATCTTCCATAGCATAATGAGTCTCACTTTTTCTTTAAGAAATTCCCTTTCTTCCTTTCAAAACAATATATGTCATTGACTTTACAAGGGTTCTCTTTTCCTTTTAATAACATTGTTAAGCTTGACACACTGATGTTACAGAAGAGTTCTAGGCACATCTTTTGTTACCTTAAAAAAAACAAGAGGAAAAATTTGTTCTGATAATCAAAAGATCAGAAAAATTACTGTTACCATGCTACTATAAATGAAAGTTATTTGGTACCTGGAATTGTGAACAGTGAGATTTAATCTCAACTACCACGATACAGAAGATGCATCTGCTCTAAGGAAAGGGAATTAAAAACTCCATTTTTTTTTTTAATCGCATTTGAGGTGAGGCGCAACAGAACACCCCTCTAAGCTGAGATTCTTAGCCAGTACTCCAACTGAAAAAAATATACAAAACTGAAAGTACATTACTGTAACTTTCAATAATTTTCAACTGTAATTTTACCTAAAGGTTGCAATAAGTATCTCCTGGTGTTAAATATTCTTGCAACTCCAGCCAGTGTTAACACCCATGTCTCAGCCCACTGTTTCTCAGCTGTATCCCTCGAATGATGGATAAGGATGTTGCCTCCTCCTGATTCAATCTTCTCTTTGTCTGCTGTGGTAGAAGATTCTCGAACCCTATCCAACAGGTGAAATAAAACCTGTAATAGTCAGGAAAGGGGAAAAAAGTAACTCTTGAAATAATATATTTGCGAATTTGCTAAAACAACAAGGAAACAGGAAATTTATTTTCCATTATCCTTTATGCCATTACGAAATCTGGAGTGCTCCCTTATTCTAAGCAGTCTTTGCAACAGCAAAGAGCAACAATCAGCCAAACGATTAGTAAAGTCTTATACAGATGTTCACTTGATAAAAGTTAGAAACAGCATGATCAGAATCAACAAGAATAGCGTTAGTACTAACAAAAGGTCAATATATATGGATCTCAAATACTGCTTAGATACAACAGGCAACAACTGATTCCACTACAGCCTGATTTCTCCATAAGGCACTACTAATATGACCATGATCCAAAACAGGGTATTTGACAGATCAAATTAGTCCAATCGTATGACCCTCAAACGTCACCAAGTTTTCACACAAAGGATGGAGTAATTTATCTGTGCAGGAAGGCAGCACCCTTTCTATACTACGCTGGTTTAAGAAAGAAATGATCAAGGTCCAAAAATGAAGTTTTGCTAGAGGCTTTAAAAGATAGAGAAAAGAAAGCGTTTAAAAAAAAAAAAAAAGACATAGAGGCAACTTCTACTACCATATGTTATCTCTAAAGAATCGTAAAGAAAATAGCTGATATTAGTAACCATTACAGGCATGCTACTTTAAAACATGAACGCAACACTGAAAACCTTCAGTAGAAGCTCACGTCATACCTTCCATATTACAGTGTGCCATGTCGAATGTTGCAATAAAGTTCCATGAGCAGCAATAGTAGAAAACAATGTCTGCCCAGCACTTTTTCTAACTGCAGGTCGGGGATCCACACAGAGTTCTCCAAGTTTGGCATAGAGACATAACCAAAGACAGTCAAATGGAGGTGCAGGATGAAACGGTCTATTTAGCATCACCCCCTTTTCTTCTGCCTGCTTCTGCAACACTGCTTCTTCCTTGTTTAGCTCCTTTTCAATTATTTCACCTCTTTGGAAAAAATAATCCGAAATATTCCACTACAAAATAAATACAACATGCTGTTGGACAACAATGATGTTCTTAATGATCATGAAATAAATCATAAATGGATTTTCACATTTAGGAGTTTTTTGCAAAGTACATTAAATACACTGATGGAAGAAGATTATCATGTAAATACTGCAAGATACAGAAAGCATATTTCTTAGCTGTAGCTTTTAGCACATCATTATACATGAACTACTAGAAAGGGAAATAATATATTAGAAAAAATATATTGGTGAACATGTCTGCAACACAGAACTATTTGTTTTACATAAATATGGTGTTACGTAGCATTAAAGATAAACTGTGCTCGCTCAATTTACGTACGATTCCAAATGACTGCATGGGAGTTCTGTAATAATTCAAAAAAAATAGGTTTTGGCTTTCATTTGTAGAATGGACTACAAATTAATTTTCGTTAAAAATAAATAAATAAATAAAAGAAGATGAAAGCCTGAAGCAGCACCGCTGTAGGTTAATATAAAACTCACCAACAAACCAATTGAAGTTAAGCTAATATTTAGCTCTTGATTGTGAAGTCCAAAGCTTCCTGCAACTTCAACAACTATCTGTAGACAAGTACATGGCATTGTTGGAAGAAAGTCTGTCACAACCAACTGAAGACACTGGAATGCAGTTCGTATTAAGGACTCTCTTAAAAAAACAAAACAAAAAAAACACACACACATACACACACTCTCATTTCAAATTTCTTCAAGAGCACAGAAACTTTTTGAATACAATACCTCAGGAGATAACATCTTTAATAACACTTTCTTTAATGCTATTAAAATGTTATTATTTTAGTTATTAAAGAAAAAAAGAAAGATCCATTAAAAATTTTCATGATGAATTTGAAACTTAAAACGTTTCAACATGGATTTTGTTTGATACAACGTTAAGCTGAAGCTTCACATTCTGATAAAGTATTTTAGTCCATGTTAATTAGTCAAGTTGCAATAAGACCCTCCAGTGGTCCTCAACTAGTTATATACACTAAAGCAAAGTCTGCTTCTCTGTTTGGAAGTTCTAGGATTTGTTAATTCAAATGTGTAAGCTAACTTTTAAACTTCCAAAGACTAAGCTGTTCTGAACAGTTTCTTGTATCAGCAGTTACAAAGAGAGATTACTTAAAGTATGCCAACCAGATGGAAAGGCAAAATGTCTTTTTATTTATTAGGAAAGATGCGTGCCAACTTAATGGCTGCTTGTATATCAGGTCTTACTTGCTTCAATACAGTGTTATGTTAGAAAAAGTCTTTTGAAAATCTCTGGCATTAAATATAGCTTTGATAAATATTTTACTTTCAGAATTGGATTCTGAATACAAACACAAAATAACACTGCAGCGTGGAAAGGGTTTGTGAGAGAAGCTCTCACAAGCAGGATGGTCATCTACAACCAAAAACTTGTTAAGTAAAAGAGGAAATGAAAGAATCAACAAGGAGTGGTGGAGTGTAGATAACAAAATAAAGAAGGCAAGCTGCTGCAGCTGCATTTAAATTTCATTACAGAATTTTAAAAAAAGTTTAAGATTCAACCTCAAAAAAAAAAAAAACCCAAAAAACAAAGGTTTGTTATACGGAAGCCTCATGTCAGAATTCACATTCCAGGAAGAAATCCAGAATACAGGTTTGTTAGTTACATATTTCAGAATGCTAAATAAAAGAACCATTTCTTCTTTCTGTGTAATTCAAAATAAAAATCACCAGTGGGTCATTTCTACTGTATTTAACAGTCAACACAAGATGGAAGTGAGAGAAACGCACAAGAAACTTCGCATGCACAATAATGGTATAATTAATTATTCTCTATAACAAATACGTACTACAGATACACCCATCCTACCACAGGAGACCAAAGGCTTTATCTTTGCCATCAAAGATACAGCGGAAATACTCATACACTACCTTCCCTCATACTTATTATATGAATTTATAAAGTGAAACACACCCAAAACTGTTTCATTTCCCTCTCAACTGCAACGTTCAAGAGGTATGCGATCTTCAAGGACGCTAAGGGAGAAGGGAAGGAGGCAGGAAATGAAAGTATGGTCACATTACTCATTTTGAAGAATTGAATTAACGGGAAAGTAACTTCTCTCTCTGTCTTCAAATGGGAGGCCACTAGAACAAATTCAAAACACAGTTCATTTCCCAATTAAGTTCCCTGCATTACTATGTATTTGGAAGAAGTTTTCCAAGTCCTTCACGCAAATGGCAACTACAAGACAGCTCTTCAAAATGTTAGATCGCTCTTAAGGCTATGGATGGCCACCCAAAAGGGAAATGCAAAAGCAAGAAGCCTAAGCTTAGCGCTAGAAATCTTTAAGATCCCTTAAGGCTTTGTCCAACCTTAAAATAGACAGGGACATCCCACTGAAAGGAAATTCTTCAAAGGAAGAGTTCTTTTTGCTTGGTAGGCTAATACGGTGCAATCAAGAAGCGACTGAAGTATCACTGGTGCTCAAAATAGCTTCTTCTGTATTTATAACAGCCTGGCAAGAGGTTCTGCAAGGTAAATGGATCTCTACTCTGGAAGCCAGGACGTTGACTGACCAGATGGAAGACACCTGTGAAGAAAGTCTAATGATCAATAAGCTTAAAGTATGGCAACAGAGCCCACATCTTGTGATCACAACTATAAGCAAGGCAAGATATTCAGTTGTTTCCCAAGGAAAAGAGGTGGTTTGGATAAACAGTGCTACGTAGTTGAAGGAGAGTATTCTCTCTTCTTTGTACTATGAGACTAAGGTGTATCACAAGATCTTAGTAACATCTTGAGACATTTGCCGGCAAGGTATGGGCCTGAGGTCTAAAGGGATCTGAAGCCTATCTTGAGAATATATCAGTGCTGGTTCCCTTCTGTCAACAATGACAGTGAAAATGAGACAACATTCAGGAACCACAGAACACACTGTAGCAAGTGTGGAAACAGCAGAGGAAGCTTGGTTAAGATGACATCTGATCTGTACTAAAAAAAAGCAAGCTGAGAGCCACGAACGCTCACGGGATGTTTGGTGAGTATTGCTGCTAGAGCAAAGAATACTGGCACAAGAGCAAAATCTCTCAAGCATTTGGAGGCAGTTAGGAGGTCTTCATAAGGCCAGAAGACAGAAGCTAAGGGAGGGAGAAGGCAGAGAGATGCAGTAAGATGGATTCTTCTGACAGTTATTTGATGACCTATCCTCATACACACAGTCTTGACTAGTACCAAAGAAGGAATAAGATAGTTTAAGTGTAGGGGTACAGTTCTTGGTGCTTACAGCTCCAGGGTCAGATATTGATTCAACTGCTAATTGCAAAAGAACCTGCAACTTCAGCTCTCATCTTCTCCTATGGGTAAGAGGATTTCAAGCGCCAAACACCAGCCCAGTTCATGCCTCCTATCCTGACAATACAGTCATAAGCTGTGTTACTCAGTCAAGGGGTTCACTCCCAGCAAATAATCAATCTTCCACCTTTGCTCTAGCAGCAGCCACTCAAAAAGGTCTTTAACAAGAAGAGATAAAGTTCAGAGGAAGACACATTCTAGAGGCTACCTAAAGATTTAAAAAGAAAAAGAAACTAGAGAGGAACTGCAAGCAACAGCTAAGTCACGCAGAATTCTTTGGTGGCACTAGAGATATGCTCACCAGATGGCTGAAATAAACCAAGCTGGCACAAGGAGTACTCCTCAGTATATACTGCAGGCTGACCATGGGAGAAGGTAGAATGTAACAACACTTTGGTCTTCTGAAAGATCAGTTCAGTATAAAACACGTGCTACAGGAAAAAATACCCAAACTGGATTTCTGCTGAGTAAAATTGTTCATAAGTTAAAAATGACAATCATGACTATTAATAGAGTAGTTATTAAAGAAGTAAAAGCAGAACTCTTTCTGCTGTTATCTTTATTGATTTTTAAGTTTTATTTCCATCACTTACCCCTGATCACTTCGAATTGCCCCCATGACTCCAAGCACCAATGGCCAACCAGGTCCCAAGCTGTCACCCTGACTTTGCAAAATCTGTAGCACGCACTCCAACTGCTTAATCCTGATATCGGGATGACTAATGTTTGATAGCTCCTTTAGTGGATTTAGCAAAAGCAGCTGCAGTCTCTAAAAGTAAACAATAAAGCACATTAAAGATGCTAAAATTTAACAGGATCCTTAATTATTTTTGTATATAATGTATGAAACCACACAGTGCCAGCTTAAAAACCTCTTCTTGAGAATCTTAGAGTTATCTAAAATGCTGAAATTCAGTTTTGTTCTGAAACACTAGTGTTCTGAAACACCAGTGCTGTGCTGGCCTTTTAAAAAAGCTGTTTATAAAGGACCTCCGCAGGAAACTTGTAGTGTTGTCCCCCACCCTGTTATCCAGGTCCCACAGGGAGGGACCAGCATGCTGTCACAGTTGTACAAAAATATCACGCAACTTCATGCTAAACCAGCAGGGCTAGACGAGGAATTCTACCAAACAGACTTTGGAAATGCTATTCACTGAACCTCAGCAAAAATCTTCAAATGCTTTATTAAAAATGGATTTAATAGATGCAGTTCACAAGATAAGAACTTTTTTTTTGCCTGCCATTAAATCATAAACATATATATATATACACACACACATATATATACATATATATGCTTCTAAACATTCTGAAATTGTTTTGCACTCACGAGGGTAATGCATAATTCCTTCCAATGAATGGACATAATGTGCAAGCAACATCACTCTTTGTTATGCACTTGCATAACAAAGGGAGAGTTCACGAGCATGTATGAGGTGATTTTCCATAGTTGCATCTGAATGTTATAGCTTTAGGCTTTATAAACTCAATGGTAAAATTGCTTTATGAATGCCAGCTACTCATTGAACCGTAGAAAATTTCCGCTAGGGGAGATTTTGATTTCATGTTCATTGCGAGTTCCCAAAAAGTAAGACAGCTCTTCATAAGCTTACTTTACCTGATTTTGTGATAAAGGAGGATCATGGCTGAACGTCAATCCTGCTTTAATAAGAGAAGTTAAAGCTTCTGCTCCCCATTCTCTCATTCTGGAGTTTGGATGCTGACAGACCTGAAAATACAACAGTATTTTGTTTAAGACCACTTTTATTTAACCAAGATTTGAATATATTTAATATATAAAAATTAGATATTTGAATTACAGTAGACTTTTACAAACAGCTGTAATAAACTATCATACACTAATACAGCAAATGCAACTCTCCAAATGATAAAAATTAAGTTTGATAGTCAAAAAGAAAACTTATCTTTTGGATAGACATACCTTCTGAATAAGGAAGCAATAGGATGCAGTGAAAGACAGAGGAAACAAAATGAAAATTATAGCAGTTCAAGTCAAAACATTCCCCAGTGTCAATATACTAATTGCTAATTCAGATAATAATAGACTGAAAAGTACCAAACAACTCTAATGCATGCCTCCAACTCTTAGGTTTAACCTGGCCTTAAGCTACTATAAAGTTCCAAGTTTCACCTTCCACATTCAGGTTAACATAATCAAGTGTGGGAGCATGACAGCAACCAGCACAATCCAAGCGTCTGCTCTTCTACATTCTCAAATACAAAGAACAACTACATGGTGAACGCAAAACAAGGCTTACAAATCATTATTTCAAAAACTTGACAAAACAATAGTGAACATTGAGTATCTGTTTAATTTTCAAATGCACTTTTCTTTCTTTTTGTTCTTTGCATCCTAATTATCTAAACCTAATGGTTTTGCTAGTTGCTTTTTGTAGAACAGCAAAATAAAAAGACTATGCAAAACCATTCCACGTATACAAACATACTATGAACTGTACTTCCGTACCTGGTACATTTCTGTCAAACAAGACAGAGGTCTATCGTCTCACTTACCTCTGAATGATTATTTCCACCCACCCTTCTAGCCCTAGCTTAAGTGAAGTGAGAATACAGAACCTTTCAACATCCAAAGCAGGTTCACAATGAAGCAAGGTGGTTTGCAATGGTTTGCTGTCTTCTTATTAGCCACTAGCAAAATTTAAAAGGAGGCTGAGACAGAATAGCTAGCTTCATGTAAAACGAGAAAACAAAAAACCCAAAAGGCAGACAAGAAATAGCTACTCTCCTGAGTTACTCTTTTTTTTTTTTTTTTTTTAAATATGGAGTAAGAAGAATATAAGATAGAATTTGAACTGCTTCCTGATATGGTGGATCTGACCAGATCATCAATTTGAGAGACAGGGAAGAAATTTTTCCCTCAGGTTGCATTTAACTGAATTTGCAGATGGTGCTTTCTCCCTCCTCATTGCTCCTTGAAGACTTAGGTTTAAAAGGAAAACAGACAATGCTGTAAAATAAACTGAAATAGAATGTGTATTTTCTTCAAAATAGTGGAAAAAATCCATATTGGATAAGAGACTGAAGCAGACTGCTTACTAGAGGAAATAAGAACTCTTAGGATGTGGATGAAGTGTAGGGGGGCGGGGGGAGGCAAGAGAGAGAGAGATACTTTTGCTTTAAGCCTTTAGACCCTTAAGTATCCAAATTCTCTCTCCCGAAGAGAAGGTAAGATTATGTGGAGATGAGATGATTTCCATAAATAAGGTTAGAGCTGGCCAATCCGTAATACTGTTTGAAATAAAGTTATTATAACGTACTGCTTCTAAGGAAGTGTCCAACACTTTCTGGAAAACGAGGAAGAAAAATCTCTCTCCTTTACTCACTTTATATGCAACCCTATTCTTGTATTTCCACTCTTGTACATATCACTGAACACGAAAAAAACTTAACAACTACAGGCCCTCATTTGCTTTTAGTTTCAAGTTCAAATTCAAAATTTAAGATTTTTTTCCCCTTGATGAAGCACATCTTTTCATATAGAAGGTAAAATAGTTACTCAAGAAACTGAAATACGATAATGACAACTATTTTGTTATTTATACAAGATTTGCTTCTATGAGACCACCCAAAACATTTGTTTACATTTACTATTAAAAAAAACAAAAAAATAAAAAACCTAAAAAACCTTAAAAAAAATCTAATGTAAATCTAATGGCTTCAACCTATCTGGCAAAGGAACAAAAAGTATCTTAAAGTCTCCCTAGCTATTTGCACTATATGAATCCCAAATAAAACCTGCTTGTGCTTTATTGAGCATAAATCATATGTGAAGCATTGTAAACTGACATTTATCACTGTATTTATAAGGTATAACACAGACAGACAGCACCATAAAGAAAAAGTCAGTAAGAGCTATAAAATACTAGGATTTAAGTATTTAAATTCACTTTTGAATTCAAACTGTGATGTATTCAAGTTGTACAAACAAAGTGCATAAAACATATAAATTGGATTTAGATTAAACATACTTCCACAAGATCTTCATTATTACAAACTAACTTCTGGTATGATGGATAAAAGAAACTGGTTACCTCCAGAAGATGACCGGTCAGAGGTCTCCAAAGAATCTCAATCCTGTGCATGTTAACTAGTCCTGTTTCCAGTAATTTAGCAACAGCAAAAAGCGATGGTTCCTTTGTAAAATGGAATTTGAACACATGACTCTGAGGTAACTGAAATAATGTAAGAGCTTATCTCCACATTTTATTTTATAAATCAGGATGTGGTTAGTCTGCATGGGAGTACTGTATTTCATAAACTGTTGTGACAATATTCACAGCATAAGCAGCAGGGCTGGGAAGCTTCCGCAGTACCTGCAGTACTTCAAGAAAAGCCACAAGGGGGTAGCAACAGAATACCATGAAGAATATTCCCTTCATAATGTGTCATAGTTTTCTCCTAGTTTGAACAAGGAGCCAGAATCCTGATACTCCTTTCAAAATTCATTTTTATAAAATTAGTATGAAGCGGGACTGCATAATATATTTTACTAGCAAAATAGACTTGCTTTCCAACATGACTTTTAAAATCAAAAATGATATATAAATCAACACTATAGACTACTTCACTTAAGAATCCCCTTTTGATTCATCTTCCCTTAGCTTCATAAATGCCCTGCAGGCATACGTAAATTTCCATTCATCACATACATATGCAAGTATTTACAACAGACTTACAAAAAGAAAAATCACAATAATAATAATAAAAAATCTATATATTCAAAGTTACTGTTGCCCTGAAATTATTCTGCCCTTCACTGTTCCCATTTATGATGACTTTTTATTTTCGTTATCAGTGAACTTTAAACACCTACTGCTTATTTTAATTCATTTTCCTCTCTCTGCCTTAAAGAATTGAACTGATACTATAATTATCAAACATTCTAAACAAAAATGTTTAAATCAAAGTTCTATTTCCTTTCTGTCACCATTATCTCTAGTGTAAAAAATAAATAAATAAATAAAATCAAGCAACAGGGCTTTCAGAAACCCTCCTCTGGGATTAGATTATGACGAGGAGAAGACAAGTTCAATCCTCTTTGATCACAGGGTCTTTAACCTTTCTGGGCCAAAAGTTGTTTTCTGAGGCTGCCAGAAATTCTATCATTTTCCCAGGTAAATAAGAACTATCAGACTTGTTTTAATATCAAAATTGTCATGCTTATTTTTGAAGTGTATTATATGAAAAAAAAAAAAAAAAAGGGAGGGGGAGCAAAAATGAGCACCTTACAGAAATGTACTGTGCCATTCAAAATACCTAACCTCCGAGTTTACAGGGGCTTTTTTAAATTTTATCTATCCATAATATGATTAATGGAATCAAATGACATTCCTCAGTTAAAAAAAAAAACATAACAGGAACACAATAAAAATGCTCAGAGGATTTAGTAACCATATGAACCATTATAAACAAGATATTGTCTCATTCTTAACTTATTTTACAGTTTAGAGTATCAAATGTATTACCGGCTTAACATTAGAAGCAGTTAGCTTAGCGAAGAAATAGACAAATCTTCTGCCCATTTCACAAAAAAATCTAAAAGGAAGACAAAGAACTCTTTCTACCTTATTGTTTCCATAGGCCATATCCATGGCTTCCAGAGACAAGGAGCAAAGGGCATTTATTAAGTGATGTAAGGAGACATCATCAAGATACCTGAAAAATAACAGCCATCAAAGCACTGCCAAGTTTTATACATATACATTATTTTAATTATAAAATGAGATCTCTTACTGTGAGCTTTCAAAAAGCCTTGAAAGTATGTTGGATATAACTGGCAGATCAGTCATAACTGCTGTAGTCAGAACCTTAAAAAGAAATATAAATTTGTCTTACAGATTGCAACAGAAAACACCGCATAATCATTAAGCTACAGAATGAACAATCACACTTACTGTACTGGGCCCTTCTACAGCTCTTCCAGGTTTTAAAGCACCCCCAACACCAGGTTTCAACCCCAGAATCCACACAAGATGCTGAAATACAAAAGGATGATTTTCAGCACAGACTTTGATAGAGTGGTAGAAATATTTAAACACCTTATCTTATATTTATTTACACAGAAATAGTTAGATCTCAGATATTAGTGTTTCAGCAGAGAAACCTCTTCAGACTGAGAGGAAACTAACACTACCTGAATTAGTGGGCAGCCAGCCAGTCCAAACAGAATTCAAAGGAAGTGCTATAGTTCTTACTCAAGGCAACTCAAAGTACAGCATGAGTAGAATCAAAGCTTTTTCTATAGTCCACATAAAAATTTAAAATCCAATTATAATCAAAAAACAAAGCATCAGAAACCACACACTTATTTCCTATACTATACCTGAAGAGTAGCCAGAACAAGTTGCCATGATGTACCAAGAACAGCTCCATGGCAGTGGGCTAAGTTGAGTAACGTCCTCATACACTGGATATTTTTTGAAGTCAGCTTAAAGAAGACCAAAATAAAAAAAAAAAAGTATATATATATATATAATTTTAAAAAAAAAAACATAACAGGAACACAATAAAAATGCTCAGAGGATTTAGTAACCATATGAACCATTATAAACAAGATATTGTCTCATTCTTAACTTATTTTACAGTTTAGAGTATCAAATGTATTACCGGCTTAACATTAGAAGCAGTTAGCTTAGCGAAGAAATAGACAAATCTTCTGCCCATTTCACAAAAAAATCTAAAAGGAAGACAAAGAACTCTTTCTACCTTATTGTTTCCATAGGCCATATCCATGGCTTCCAGAGACAAGGAGCAAAGGGCATTTATTAAGTGATGTAAGGAGACATCATCAAGATACCTGAAAAATAACAGCCATCAAAGCACTGCCAAGTTTTATACATATACATTATTTTAATTATAAAATGAGATCTCTTACTGTGAGCTTTCAAAAAGCCTTGAAAGTATGTTGGATATAACTGGCAGATCAGTCATAACTGCTGTAGTCAGAACCTTAAAAAGAAATATAAATTTGTCTTACAGATTGCAACAGAAAACACCGCATAATCATTAAGCTACAGAATGAACAATCACACTTACTGTACTGGGCCCTTCTACAGCTCTTCCAGGTTTTAAAGCACCCCCAACACCAGGTTTCAACCCCAGAATCCACACAAGATGCTGAAATACAAAAGGATGATTTTCAGCACAGACTTTGATAGAGTGGTAGAAATATTTAAACACCTTATCTTATATTTATTTACACAGAAATAGTTAGATCTCAGATATTAGTGTTTCAGCAGAGAAACCTCTTCAGACTGAGAGGAAACTAACACTACCTGAATTAGTGGGCAGCCAGCCAGTCCAAACAGAATTCAAAGGAAGTGCTATAGTTCTTACTCAAGGCAACTCAAAGTACAGCATGAGTAGAATCAAAGCTTTTTCTATAGTCCACATAAAAATTTAAAATCCAATTATAATCAAAAAACAAAGCATCAGAAACCACACGCTTATTTCCTATACTATACCTGAAGAGTAGCCAGAACAAGTTGCCATGATGTACCAAGAACAGCTCCATGGCAGTGGGCTAAGTTGAGTAACGTCCTCATACACTGGATATTTTTTGAAGTCAGCTTAAAGAAGACCAAAATAAAAAAAAAATGTATATATATATATAATTCTACAAAAATAATGTTTCTAGGAAACTTGCAAACTTTTTGTTTTAATAAATAGCTTAAAGATTACATTTAAAATTAGTACTGGTGCAATATACTTATTTTACATAAGTAATTCAATAGCTCTCCATCCCTCAGTCTTAATCTTGCTGGGGTTGAATACAGTTTGATCAACGTTTTCTCTCCTCCCCAGAAGTCACCTGTAATTTCTGTAACACTGAAAATAATGTGTTTTCATACAGATGCCTAACACACTTTGAATGAAATGGTTATTTCAGGCTTTAGGCACTGGATCAGGATACCAAAGGTACGTTTATAATAAATAGTGCCAATATTAGGTCTCAATTAAGAGTGTAACAAGAAAAAAGCAGTAACACCTTAAGGCCAATGGCTGCCCTACAAAGAGTTGGCGAACACCGCTTCCCATGCATGCACAGCCATTTTGGACGCCACCACTTGTAAGCTCTGACACTGCAGAACAACACTCGGCTCATGGCCACTCCAGAATACTCATAGCAGAAGCTTTCCCCTAAGTTTTAAAGGATTTTCAAACCAAATACCAGAGCTCCTTGCACGTGACAAACTTGCAAAGCTTGCTTCAGGAAATGTTTCCTGGTGGAAAAAATTGTGGCATAACTAGGTGTGCCTCAAATATTTGCGCAAACGTTATTTTTAGTTCAACATATTTAACCAGCACTCTCTGTGTTCCTGTTTCCATTAAAAGAAAAAGACTCCTCCTTTGTTTTGTCATACCTTAATCTGCTAATGAAGAGCATATCCAACAAAGTAAAAAACTTGTAAACTGTGTGGCAAACACTGGTGAAAGTTATGTACAGTTCAACAATTTGAAGACTTCCTCTTGGTGGAGGAGGATCAGATCAGGGATCGCTTGAGCAAACTGGACATACACAAGTCCCTGGGCCCTGATGGGATGCACCCACAAGTGCTGAGGGAGCTGGTCAATGTCATTGCTAGGCCACTCTCAATCGTCTTTAAAAGGCTGAGCTGATCAGGAGAGGTGCATGCGGACTGGAAGAAAGCAAATGTCACTCCAGTCTTCAGAAAGGGCAAGGAGGACCCAGGGAACTACAGGCCAATCAGCCTCACCTTGATCCCTGGAAAGGTGACGGAACAGCTCATCCTGGATGCCATTTCCAGCACATGAAGGACAAGGTGGTGATCAGGAGTAGTCAGCATGGATTCACCAAAGGGAAATCACGCTTGACCAATCTGATAGCCTTCTATGATGGAATGACTGGCTGGATAGATGAGGGGAGAGCAGTGGATGCTCTCTACCTTGACTTGAGTAAAGCTTTCGACACTCTCTCTCATAACATTCTCATAGATAAGCTGATGAAGTATGGGCTAGATGAGCTCACGTTAAGGTGGACTGAAAAATGCATGAACAGCAGAACTCAGAAGGTTGTGATCAGTGGCGCAAAGTCTAGTTCGAGGTCAGTAACTGGTGGTGCACACCAGAGCATCTCTCTCATGAGGAAAGCCTGAGAGAGCTGGGACTGTTCAGCCTGGAGAAGAGAAGACTGAGTGGGGGATCTTATCAATGTCTATACATATCTGAATGGAGGGTGTCAAGAGGATGGGGCCAGACTCTTCTCTGTGGTGCCCAACAGCACGACAAGAGGAAATTAGCACAAACACAGGAATTTCCACCTGAATCTAAGGAAGAACTTCTTTACCATAAGGGTGACAGCACTGGAACAGGTTGCCCAGAGAGGTTGTGGAGTCTCCATCCCTGCAGATATTCAAAAGCTGTCCAGACATGGCCCCAGGCAGCCTGCTCTAGGTAACCCTGCTTAAGCAGAGGTGTTGGACTAGATGATCTCTAAAGGTCCCTTCCAACCTCAACTGCTCTGCAATTCTGCAATTCTGTGAATCTCACCAACTAGATTGAGAATTTTTTCCATAAAGGGGAAGCCAATCACTACCTTCCAGGAAGGAAGGAAAAAGAAAAAAAAAAAAATCAAGCAAATATTATCAAGAGCAGAGATGCTTCCATACAATGAAAATGATTACTGGCCTTCTTTATCACTATCTCAAGGCTATGGATACTGAGAGGCCCAAATACTGCTATTCCTAAGGGAGTTTTTCACTGAATTTGCCACTAAGTTTTACCATTCAGATCCTCTGGAATAATAATCCATCCATGTAAATTCCATTCAGATGGATTCTTTTAAAATTAAAAAAAACCAGTGTACGTTAAAATATGCCTGGCAAACACAACGCAGTAGAAAATAGGTCGCTGACTTCCTATCTGGAATTAAAAAATAGCCTTCTGCATTTGGTGTCATTCAGCTACTTGTGTGTTTCAAGACTGGCTCTGAAGCTTGCTATCTAGGCACCTGTTTCTTTTCCTGCATCATCCGAATCCTCTTTCTGCACTTCCAAAATGAAATTGTCCTACCAAAAATTTCTTCAGCCCAGGAACACGATTCATTTGGGTTCCTTTCGTTATATAAGGCCACACAATCAAGTTCTCTGCAGCAGAGACAGGAAGACACGGAAATCATGAATTTTGAAATTGGCACGCTTTGTTTTGCGGCAAGAGGCCTTCAGAGCTTTATTATTTTCCCTTTTAATACTTAACTCTGCCCATTCCTTAAAATGTGCGTTTTAAAATACCAATGATAACTTGAATAATTCTCCTGTAATCACACTCTGATGTAAAGCACATCAGAGATTAAACAGAAACCCAGTTTGCTTTTCTAACTAGGAAACAGATTGAGACATCATGCTGAGCCTATTTCATTGAACTAAGCAGAGAACAGGCTACATGCAATAAAGGTCAAAGCAGCTAAAACCAAAAGCAATAGAAGCTCCCAACCAAAGAGTGAGTCATACGCAAGAGATCCAAGGGCTTTCAAAGAAAATAGGTAGGAGCTGGGCTAAAATTCAGATAAAAGCCTAGAGCAAGGCTTCTTTACAATTACAGACCTTTGCTCTCTCAATTAAGAGCCTAAGAGAATATTTCAGATAATTGTTGTTTGTAAGAACGCTGTTTATCTGTTGTCTCTTTTGAGACACACAGATGCAGAAAGAAGCTGTTTAGCAAGACAGAGATCATTTACAAGTTGTACTTACCATTACTGTTCCCTGCGGCTGAAGAGCTAAGGGTTGACCTACTGCTACAACTTGCTGATGAGACTCGCTTGAAGGACTGATCATTTGAACATTCTGTCCCTGAATAGAATATGCTAGAGGAAAATGGAAAAAAAAAAAAAATCCAACCTTAAAAGCCAGTACTTACTGTATTAACGACCATCACCTTCTGATAAACAAGTTTCTGTGAATTTTATCATAGTACTAGCTTTAAGGTAGCTCACTATATTGAGATCTTCAGATACATTTAGATTATTAAAGTATTGTTCTATAGGGTTAAAGGAACCAGTATTAATTTGTTCCTTATCAACTACAAGGTATTGCTTGCAACATGTTAATATGTTATGTCCAAAATGAAATATTTGTGCTAAAATACAAGCAAGTACAGGTCGAGCATATGCCTCAACTGAGTTGTCTATCTAAAATCACTCTGCTACCTTTGCCCTTGTACAGTCTGAAAATAAAGGTGTTACATCTGCTACGTTGTGATGTTTTTTCCAATACAGGACTATAAATGATCCTTTTTGTAACTTAGCTGTAGAAAGAAGAGTAACATACCAACCTAAATATAATAAGGTGAAGCTCACCGCTTCTCTCCCCTCAGAAAATCTAAAAAGTGCATTATAAAAACATCAAGACTCAACTTATTTTATGTTTCTAAACTACATTTGCAACTTGCAGAAGTACTGCACTTTAGCACACAACAGCACCTCACTGTTAGCACTGTTTCACAGATTCGTGATCTAATACACTCAACTGATGGGCTGAGGAAGAGGTTCTGGTCCTCTTTCCCAGACAACAGTATTTTCATTTTATATTAGATGTCTAACGTTTGACCCACGTGCACAGTCTCCAGGTAATTCAATTTCTGGCTACCTAATAATTCTATTTCAAAATTAGAAACACTGTACACCATTATCTAGCATATCCCATAACTTGATGCTTGTAGCACTCTCTCAGGATGTGGAAAGCACCAATTCAATCTTTTGTAAGCTGAACAGAGCCCAGAACTTAAGAGCTGCCATTTACTCAGTAAGCACCATAGTCACTAGGCAACAGTAAGTAAGAGAAGACCACAGTATATCACAAACGTAGAAAGTTCTATCCAACTCTCGAGCGTCTGCGACTTCTTGCCCAGGGACTTTCCAAGAGTTTGAATGCCTTGACTATACATCATAACAAATCTTTGGGATAGTATTTCCTCTTACAACAGGAACTTTGGATATATGCTAAGCATTTGAGGAAATAATGTTTTAGGTTGAGTAGAACAGAACCTAACAGGCTTAGGATGCTGCAAAACTAAGCAGATCTGAGAGGCAGGCAGTCTAAATCCCGCCTGACGATTCTGAGTAAATTAATGTAACCAAATACCTTATGTCAAAGAACGCTATGCTTGTTTACGTGTGCGATCGTATGTCGAGAAAAAAGTTAGGTTTGGAGTTATTTTAGCATGGACAATACAAAGTTAACACTAAAAAAAATTAGTAATGTAACAAAATTAAACATATTTGAACACATTATAAAGGAAATATATATACTTACATTTGCTGGACAGAGCTGCAGTTGTGCTGTTTAATACAGTAAGGGCATAGTGAGGAGGCAAGGACCCTTTGCAAATGGCAGTGATAAAGGCATCTCTGGATGTGACAAGACCTAACCTTCCACAAAGTGCAGCCATGGTCAATTCTGCTTTTAAAATATTTTCAGTGGCAGCTTCATCAGTGCTGAAAGAGCACATATCATTTAGTAGGAATTAATCCATGCACAGAAAAGGCAGCTAACCAAAAGTGAAAGCAACGAGAACTCACAGTTTAAAACTGGTAACATTCTAAACACTGAAGAGCAAGCATAACCAATCAATAAAATTCTTTAGAACCACTTCCTATAAAATGGGACTTTAGTTCTGAATGACTCAGCACAAAGGAGCCTACAAGGAGATATTTAACACTGATTTCAGAAAAAGGGACAGTTAAGTTATCAAAGTTATCACCTACTAAATAGCTATTCCACTTCAACGAAAAGATTCTATAGCACTAACAAGTACTGAAAAATTTAGTCCCCTTATAAACAGTAATCAAGACTTGAGAGGAATCACTTCAATGTGATGAAACATTCAGTCAAAATAAAAAGGAATAAACAAAATTAAATAGTTTAAATGTAAGTCTTTGAAAACGTAACTAACTGCTCTCTATGTATTAGAGCTCCACGTACGTTACAAGTATGTACAATTGCCCTATGTACGTTAGAGTTTTATGTTATGCTTTCAGGGACTTGTATGTAGTTTACTCCTAACGGATCCTCACTAGGTCTAGCCATCACTCACACACAAAACTCTGGTATCGTCTGCTTGTGATTGGGGAAGAGCTCTCCCCCAAACAACTGTCAATTTGAACAGTTTCAAAACTCAGTTCAAGATATAGCTAGGAATACCTTCTAGGAAAGAACAAGAGATATAAAAGACCAAATACCTTGCATCAAGTAGGAGAGAGAATGCAGCAAGAAGACCACACCAACATGCATTCACCATTTCTTCCCAGACAGCTCTGCTAACTTGAAAGAAATGCATATACATATTTGTAGCAGAAAAACATAATTGAAAGTTATTAAATAAAATATTGGCACCAACGTACCATGCTCACTGCTGGATCTTTTAAAGTGTGTTTACATATATATAGTATACACACACACACACACACACATATATACATTATATATATACAAACACATACACATGCACACACACTGCAGCACCATTTAAACACTTGCATTTAAAATAAAATTTCTGAAGTAAAAAAGCGTCATCAACGCAACTGCTAATAAAGAAACCACACATGAAAGGCACTTTTCATTCACATTTCTCAACGCACTCCCAGTGTCACCTAATCTAATAAACTCCCTTGTTTGCTTACCACATAAAACTAACTGTACTGTGCACAATACTTGCAATTATTTTAAGACTGTCTATAAAAATAAGCATGCAGAAGTGCATACATAAATTAGGGACCTGGGGTAGACAAGAAACCCACACTGAACTTTTGCAGTGATGGAAAGACATCTTTCTCCAGGCGTTTATAATTCTCCAGTTCCTGGAACATTTTTTCATTTCTCTAACCTAACAGGAAATAATTTTAAGTCTGACAGACTTATAATTTGCTCTTATCTTTCCCACGCTCCTGCCTCCCTCTGCCCTGCCAGCGACACTGCTGAGCAGCGGCTGTTTGCCTCAGCACCACGGAGAGCTCCACGGCTGCTGCAGCCAAGACCGGTGCCAAGACAAACCCGCTTCCCTGCCTTTTGCAGCGCTGATGCCTTGGTACCGACCTCACTGCTACAATCTCATCTTCCGGGTACACAATGCAGTATCACACCAGGGAGCCAAACCTGTCTCCATGTACCTATACTGACTCCGCATATGCTGCACAAATAAAAGCCTCCGTTATTCTACTTCTAAAGAAGGTAAGTTCCTCCCTGAATCCTTACTTAACATCTCTCCATTAAAACATCTGTCTTTTCATCTTGTCACTAGAAACAGAATTTTGTAACATGCTTGTAACTGCCATGTTTCTTTCAGTCAGAATATCTCTTGTGACCTTCCTGGATCTCAGTGCTAACCAGAGTTAAGAACACAGGAAGGCAGAATAGTAGTGCTGGAGAAAGGAACGCCTATTATCACTCCTCTGCTTTTGCAACAACACACATACATGTAAAACAGTATTAAAATCCTGCAAGGAGACTATGGCTAAAGTGCTACATGACAGAAACAGTATGTGGAGTCAAGTATCTTCTTTAGCCTACTGCTGTTCTGTCCCCCGAAAAACAAAACAAAATAGAAACCTAACCCCCAAATTAGCAGTTATTTCAGAGAAACTTTAAAAGCTATTTCCAAATACTTTTAAAAAATATAACTAGAAATGATAAAAATCAACAAGAATCACAAGTTCATTGAAAGTTTTTACATATTTCAAGACAATAAATTTAAACAACAAAGCATGAACTATTTTAACTCTGCTTTGCATAAAACTCAAAGTAATCTTAATGATGTAGATGCTACATCTCCATAAAACATTAAAAAGAACGTACACATAGTAAACATACAATTCTACTAATGAGATTTGTTTCTGGTGTTGTATTTTCTGTTATTTGTATTTTCAAATACCTAGCTCTTGGTCTGATTCATCAGATACAGACTGCAAGTCTTGCTGCTCTGAAGACCGTGCTGGTGATAAGGTTGCCTCTGTTGTGATTTGACTGACTGCTTCAGCCTCTCCCAGCTCTCCTTCAATCATGGTAGTGATACCACGGACAAGATCCAGTAAACTGTGAAACGCCACTGACATGGCATAGCCTTCAGGAATTGTAGGTGGCTCTACTTTGTCCAGCATTTCCAAACTAAAAAATGGAAAGCGTTACAAGTAAGAGTGTAACAGTACAACTGTGATTAAAAACAGGAAGAAAAAAAAAAAAAAAGATTCCAAACACCTGTTAACTACAAACAGACCCCAAATATCATCCTTAGAAAGTTATAAAAACTCCAGAAAAATAAAATATCTCATAAATTAAGTTATTTATTAAAAGAGTAAATGAGTCACTAAATAAAACAGTAAATGAAAGGGTAGAAACTGAGTATGTAGATCAGCAAATAAAATATTAAGACATTAACACATATGAGGAAGTCTCACTGAGAGATATTACGCTACTCGTATTCTCATTCTACTTAAACCTACTGCAAAAGAACCTTTTTGGAAGAACGTAAAGAGTGGAAATAAGGCAGCGTGACAGGGTGAATATTCTTATAACAAACTGAAAACAAGTCAGATGTTCCATGATCATTATCACTGGATCCATAAAACTTGAAAACCCTGCCACTGCAAGATAACGTATGACCAAATATTCATCACCTCCCACCAACTATGTTAAATGCACACGTAAACAATGGAAGTTATTTGTACAAAGAGGAACTGTTGACATGCACTGCCAAATGCCCTGCAATTAAAACATCATTACTCTAGAGCTGTTGCCTCATTGCTGCTTTTCCTCATTTTTTACCCTAAAAGCACATAAAGAACTGCTGAGTTACAAATCCAGCCGGAAATAGATTGTAGCTGCTACAGCACCAGTGTCTGCCCAAGGAGAGACAGTCATACAGAAACTGCCTACTACCCCAACAACCAAAAACCATTTTTCACGATCTGGTCTCCAAACCACTCTTAAGGCCAGGTACTCCAGCTACAATTTAAAGATACTTTAATATCGCCTTGTCACAAGTCCTTTCTGCCCAAAGGCTTTTCTTTCTTTCTCCTCCCAAAAACAACACTACCATCTACTTTCCTGCAGAAAGTGGCCTTAGATATCTGAAGGCTTAGGAAGTATAGGTAGATCAGATGTTCAACTTTTGTTTCTACTCTCAGATCTAGAGTGGGACAAGGCAGAAAAAGTGGTGGGCTGCTGAGTTACAAATCCAGCCGGAAATAGATTGTAGCTGCTACAGCACCAGTGTCTGCCCAAGGAGAGACAGTCATACAGAAACTGCCTACTACCCCAACAACCAAAAACCATTTTTCACGATCTGGTCTCCAAACCACTCTTAAGGCCAGGTACTCCAGCTACAATTTAAAGATACTTTAATATCGCCTTGTCACAAGTCCTTTCTGCCCAAAGGCTTTTCTTTCTTTCTCCTCCCAAAAACAACACTACCATCTACTTTCCTGCAGAAAGTGGCCTTAGATATCTGAAGGCTTAGGAAGTATAGGTAGATCAGATGTTCAACTTTTGTTTCTACTCTCAGATCTAGAGTGGGACAAGGCAGAAAAAGTGGTGGGGAAGGTGGAGATCAAATGCTCGTTCTCTGGAGCAGCAATTAACAACAAGAAAACGTAAGGTAATCGGGACAGCAAAATCAGAGTAACAATTAAGTGAGGAACAATGACTCCACAAAAAGAAAAATGTGTAGCCATGAGAAAAAACACAGCTGTGTCAACTCAGTTTGGCATGCAAACAGGTATCGATTTGAAAAGTTGGGCACTTTTGCCTCAGCTCAGTACCATGCTACCACAGAACTTCTATATTGCAGCTGGCTATCATCTGACTACTTTGAAGGATGTGGCAGAGAGAAAAACTGCTGTGAAATTCCAGAACCAGCCAAAATATTTGATGCATGATGCAAACTTTCTCCTTTGCTTAAACCCTCTCTACCCTCGCAACCTAAAGGCAGCCTTTCAGATGATGCAGAAAAACAGGTTGCCTAAAACTAGCAGTGCGCATCTACAATCATCTGACCAATAATAAAAGTAACAGACAATAACAGACTACACTGTTTCCTCATTACAAGCTTATAATTTTCCATTAGCAGCCTCACAGATTGCAGAATAGTTAGAAAAACATTCATCATGATTTACAAGCCTTTATACAGAGACAGATAAGTGAGTTGGCTGAATCACAAAAAAGTAATATTGCATTCTTTCCATTAAGTTATCTTTTTTTTTCCCTGAATTCTACTTGACTTGAAGTGGACCAAGACTGTAAAAAAAAAAAAAAAAGAAAAGAAAAAAAAAAAGGAGTAGTATTTTTAATCTTGCCACCAAATTCCATGGAATTTTTCAATGGAAGATGAATTAAAAAAAAAGAGTATGACTTCACATTTAAAATCCAATTTAAAAATAACCTTTGATAAACTGTATGCATTATACTGCAAAAAAACCTTAAAATGTCACTGTGCTGAAGTGTTAAAAACAACAAAGGAATTTTGAGGGGGGAAAAAAAAAAAGTAATACATCTCGATACTACAACCATTGTATACAGAAGAAGCCTATAAAAATTTTGTCTTTTTCAAAATTACCGTAATTTTAGTTTATATTTCTCCTTTCCATTCCAAAGGCTCATGCTACTAACACTGTCATTTTACTCATTTTTGACCAGGAGGTCTAAATTTTGAAGTCATTAAGCTAGTGTAATTATTTAACAAGTGATTGAAAATATTTCTCAGAAGTTCTTAATTCTTGGATCAGAATTGTCACATATTTTGTTTTTTTTATATACTAAAAGTTTTAAATAGAAAATGAACTACATGCTTACATTTACTAAAAATTGTTCATATTAAAGAAATTTTGTTCAAAGTGATATTTTACACTAACTTTTTTCAAAATATAGTAGTTTTAGCTCCTACAACTGAGAACAGAATATTTATATGTATTAAATACCTAAAATCATGAATGGGTATTATAGTTAAGACATATCTGTGAGGTACCTCTACCTCACAGATACCCTTATTTTCACAGACAGGAAAGCAAACTACTGAAAAATGACATTACTTGTTACAGTCACATGGGAATGGGTATGACAAGTCTTCAATGCAAATCTCCTTTGTGTAGTCTCTCAAACACACTTCCTTCCTCACATAAAGAGGAAGACAAGGCACAGTGATCTGGGAAGAGAAAGGTCCACCCTGGCAAAAAGACCTCTGATGCTCTGTTCACAATCCATCTCCCTGGAATCAAATCACTGCACAAAAATACGAGATCTGACCATATTATGAAAATCTAATGATAGCACTAGGAGAGAATCCCAAGCATGGGACAGGCCTCAAATCTACAGTTACCATTTTCTCCACGCCTCCATATTAACTGATTTTAAAAAATCCTTATATAATTAAGCTGTAAATAAAAATCTTTATTATATGTATTTTTTAAATGGATAGTGGTACTTACTAGGTAGCTTTAGCACTTCCTTGTACTGTTATGTTCAGGATAGGTATCCAGGTACCTCTGTACTCAAACGCAGGTAACACAGTTGCGCCCCCACCCATTCCAAGTACTCCCGGGGTGGCTTGTGCTGAGCCAGAGCTCCCCGATGTACTGCTTCCTGTTCAGGGAAGCAAAGCAATAAAATTAACCATTCTCACAATCTAATTTTAATTATCACTGAATATCCCTTTTCTATACTTAATTTTTGCATTGAGATATATGGATTAATCTGAGACCACCAGCTCTAAGGGGAAAAGGGGAACCACTATATTTGTGCGCCCCCTGCTGTCTCAATCACAGTATTATGTGCAGAGCATTTGGTCTCAACAGTGCCTTTTAAACTATTTGCTCTGTTTTCAAAATGTTTTTGTGAAAGGTACAGCAGCAGCAGCATTCATAACACTGTGAGTAAACTAAATTTAAATGGTCTTGATGAAAAAAATATTTTATATATGTTTGCATGTATGTATGCATGCAAGTGTAGCATCAGATAGATGTTTAAATAAAAAGCCGTGGATTATTTGAATAACTACATCTAGAACTTATGAAGTTATAGGAACTGCAAATCAGTCACACCAGGAATAAAGATCACCACAAACTTGAAAGATCTCAAAATTCAGAAGCCACATGAAGAAACTCAGTAGCTTAAGAACTGCAACGTTTGAGTCTGTTCCATCCCCAGCTAGAGGAGAAAAAACATCAAGGAAGAGCCAACAACATGTCAATCAACAGTCAAAAGGGAATAAATTTTGATTCTAATCCAAGAAGCCAAAAGAAAAAATAAGGAAGTCTATGCTTATTAGGAGTAGGTGCCACAAGTTCAGACTCTGTCTGTATAGACAAAGGAGAGAGAGAAGGACAGTCCTCAAGACGGTGCCTCAAAGCACCTATATGCATCAGTCTAACAACTTTCATTTTGGTATGTTCTCTTTTAAGGATATAAAGAGACAAACTCACTAATTCAGGCAAAACAAATACATGCAGAAGCCTGTGCACTTTAATACAGTAAAGCTTATCAGATTAAAGCAATGAAAATCATACTACTAAACCAAAATGGTCAAAGTACTGCTACTAACACAATAAACTGGTGTAATTATTTGTCATCCCACTGCAGAGTCAGTCATTGTAAAACTACCTTTGTACAAACATAACTCCTTACAGTGAAAAAGTAAAAGGTTTACACCTGCATAATAAAGGTGATACACAGCTTAGGTAGATGCAGCTTTAATCTTCTTCTGCAAAAAGGCTACCTTACTACAAAATTGAAGTTCAAAAGACAACTACATGCTTCTAAGGTATATACAGTTATCACAGGATTATCATAATAAATGGAAATTTGGGAGAAAATTAGGTTGCACTGATCTGCTCTTTGTCTGTTATACATGGCCCTAGAAGGTGAAGAAAGAGGAAATGCAGGAGAAACGCTCAGATAGGGAGAAAATAAGGTGGAAAGTTAACAAAGAAAATAAATTGGAACGATAGGCCAGACATATAGCGACAGCAATAAGAACAAGACCGTATTGCAGTGCTGTTTCAGACTAAAGAAAAAAGAAAGTACATTTGGAGAGTGAATATTTAAGAATAGCTTTTTGCATACGCGTTTATTACGTGATGAAAACTGCTTTTCTGATTTATCATAAGGGGGTTAAACTAACCCAGAGGTAACAATAAAATTGCTCCGTCAGCTTCCACACAGATAGTTATTGAACGACAGCTATCATGATAAATTCCTCCATGTAAACAACGCTAACACCACTCGGAATTCAGAACACTAACCTTTATGAGTGAACACTGGAATGTATAGGTCTAAGACAATGTTTTTTAATGTTTATTAATTAAAACATAATTTATCTCCACATATCGCTTAAACTAGAGCAAAAACATAATTCTCTGTAGTGCCCTAGGAGAGAAAGGAAAGACCTGCTAACTTAGATACTTCTTTGACTGCTAGTGCAGGAATAAGTGACTAAGAGAAAGTGACAAACTGATTCAGCTCTTACTGGACAGATTTCTTTAAAAAAAACAAGAAAACACATACACATGATCAGGCAGTTTCGTTCTTTCCTCATTTATAGATCTTGCACATAAGTTAGCATAACTACGTATATTTGGCTAACTTTGATAAAAAATACATATCTTTTCTTTTTAGGGACCTGAAAATAAATAACCTTGTCTTCCAAATGCTGTTGTATTGCGGGGAAATAAAGTGCTCAGTGTATTTCCCTGCTACTGGTTGCTTTTAAACAGCAAAAAATAGGTGTCAGATTGCCTGAAGGGGTGTCTCAGAAGTGAGCACAAATATTTTCCTGTTCTTCGTTGCAGAAATCTGTGCATCACCAGTGCTATTCAACTTTTTAACACGACACTTAACTATATACCTCAGTGCCAGATAATCCATTTACTTCCAAAGTGGTCTGGGTCATGGCTCCCAGAGTAAACAAAAAAACATTCATGAAAGTATAAATAAATATAGCCAAACAAATCTACTTTCCTGATAAAACTGTAGCCTTAGCCTGCCTTTTCTGCAAAGCTTCCCATTTGGAGAAACTGGAAACCATCTGTGACTCCAGTGAGAAAGTACTCACCAAGCTTAATGATAAAGATTTCCATCTCATTCTTTTCATGAGGGACAATCACATACATTACAAGATCTGAAGCTGATAGGGTCACTCTCTTGATCTTTTATATCTATTATTTTATATTTTTATTACTGACCTATTATCAGAATTATTATTGAATTATTATCTTGTTTAAGAAGGCATGTCAAAAGAAACCCTTAGCAATTATGTTTATTTTGTTTGTTGCTGAGCTTCTACTTTCAGAGCCATGTACAGAAGCAGGGCACCCTAACTCAGATGCGACTGCCTGCAAAGGGATTAATAAGACCATTCCTTCTTATAAAAATAAAAATATACCTACTGAAATGCCAAAAATCCTGGCTGCAAGGGAAGATAATCAAGTTTCAGTAACAAACTGTTTTCTGCCCACAGAAAAAGCAAAGATCATCTGTAAAACACAGGTGGTCTTTCTACCCTTTGGCTTTCTTAATCCAGTTCTGCCCCTAAAAGCCAAATATAAATTAGTTTTTGCCTCTCAAAAGAAGCAGCAAACACTGCTTCTACTACTTATTCTTACTACTTCAGGTGTACAAAGCCCTCAACAACATCTCAAAAAAGTTAGGCAAACAGAGTCAAGTCTGTAGTAGTCAGAAATTAGAAATAATTCCCACAGTTTCCTTCAGAAAAGCTCTGAATCAAGGAGCTTGGTCATTCTAAAGCAGATATAGCTGGACGGGCAATGCTCTGCTGACTGGGGGCTAAACCTACCCCAGGATACAGGTAGGTAAAATCATCCATTGTAACAGATCTGAAAACATCAGTTTATCTCAAGCTAACTTTTCACCTAAATAAATGCTAAACTACAGAATTGTACCAAACCAAATGGTATGAAGCGGAACAATTCAAAATTATTATTTTAAGAAAATATTGAAAAATTAAAACGATAGTAAGAGTAAGGCTTTACCTGCTTGGTTTGGTGTTGCTGATGTGTTCCCTGTGCTTGTTACCAGAAACAGTGACTGGATGAAGGACCCCAGTGCATTCACAATATCACGGAAAACTTTAGTGGAATGCTGCTTCATATCATAGGACTGACAAAAGGACCTGTAGAGTATTTTTTAAATTATAGTAAGTATTTGACAAATTAGAGAGTTAAAGCACATTTTAACTGCAAATATATAGGTGAATAATAAAATTTAGTTTCGGGGGAATGCTTCTTTAATACTAGTGAGACACAGAGGGTTTGGGATAATCAAATAACTTTAATGCATCTACTCCTGGATAATAAGTACTGTCTAATGCTTCCAAAACATTATCTTGAAGAGTATACTGCTTTTAAGTTTCTAAATATTTACAATATTTTAGGAAATCCTTTCCACCAGAGAAAAATAAAAAGATTTCTTCACTTCCACATAAAAGTGAAGCTTGATAATTTGTACCTTAATAGCTGAGGCTGCACACAAAGCCTGTGAATAGATTCTACTGCAACAGCTCTTAACCACTGTGGTTTATCTGCATCCAGAAACTTAACCAGCAAGGACAGAAAGATTTCACATTCTGTTACCTAAAAGATACAGTTTACAGCCATTAAATTAAAAGAAAAAGCCTCCTGCAAAGTATTTTCTCCCAAAAACTTCTGTTTCATATTAGGAGACCTATGCTAGCAAGTTTTTGCACAGAATCTAAAAAGCTTTAATAAGCATTCACGTAAAGTAATATACAATATATACCTAATAATCATAATATTGTATTGCCAAACTAACGTAACATACGTAACTGTATTCAGGGAGTTAAATTCCTTACAGACATTTCAATAAAATTCTAAAACGTGCTACAATAAACAAGTGAAAGAAAGGAAAAAAAAAAAATCCCCCCCCGCCCCCCCAGTGATCAGCAAAAAAAATAGCTGAAATATAAGTGGCATAATAAACGAACAAGGTTTTAACTTATAAATATATTTGATAAACTTTTGCCCACACTTTATTTAAGCAACAGAAGTTAAAAGTTAAAAGCCTCTTAGGAACCATTAACAAAGCATCACAACCAACATATCAAAAGGCACGCAGATAACATAAGAAGATTAAAAGGTTCCCAAAAACTTAACTGAAAGACAGGTCAAGCAAAGGAGCTACCTTTTAGTAAGTACAGAAAAATCCAAAGACTGTTAACAATCTACTCTGATAAATTATACAAGCCCAAGTTTAAATCATACACGTAGACTACAAGTAAGCAGAAATACATACAAAAGGAAGATATAACTGAGGCTTTCCTTCCCGCACTATAGGTCAACTGTTCCCCACAGCTAATACTTTGCTGAACTCAGTACCAGTACATACACAGAAAAACAGAACTATATACATAAAATTTGAACATATTCTTACCAACAAACTGTAAAACTGCTTAATCAAAACAGAAACTACTCTCAGCAAACGCATACAGATGGGGAAATACGGTTTTTCCACTGGTGCTGGGGAAGATGATGAGCTGGAACCTTGTCTGAATTTGATATTTGGGGAGAAGAGCTTTATAACAAGGGGGCATACCCTTTCTTTAAGGAGAAAACTGAATTCTTGATGCTGGAAAAAAATGAAGAAAGAAAAATTCGTATTAAGAACAAATTATACAAAAAAACCCCACAGCTTAAATATTATTTTCTTCGATTGCTACCTGTAGCTCTGATTAAGCATCTTATTTACATTTAGTGTTAAGACCAAAAACTCCGAAGTCACATAAATCTTTCTGTATATTACATGCTCAGGAAATGAAAAGGACAAACAGCAGACACCATTAAAAAGCTACCAAAATGCACAATGAAACGACACAGTCAGGTTCATATCACACGCTCCTCTTGCACTTTGCAAACTGTAATAAGATGCTATTACGTCATTTATTATATAATTAACTTCTGAATTTAGCTGCTGCCTGTTAAAATGTGTTCCTGTAAGATCATGGTGCATTCACATGCAGCATATTCATACAATTCAAAGTCACAATTCCTACTGCTTTGCAAGTGGGGTGAAGTTATCGTTTCTGTGGAAATAACGCCACAAACTAAGTTACGGAGCTGCGTTATCAACAGTATCATAAATCATGCAAGAAGATAAGGAAATGCATCTTTGGAGGAGATACAACTGGCAAAATAAAACCTGAAACAGACCTTACAAAGTACCACGTGCACTATAAAAGGCACAAATACAGAGGTAAACAAATAAACTGTATAGGATAGAAAAAAAAACAGATAGAAAGCGTGCGATTCATTTCTATCAGAAAAAGAAAAAATGTAAAAGTCACAGCTCCTCTTAAGTAGTAGTATATTGACACATTCCCACTAAATTAATGAGGATTTTATTTTATTACGCATCAGGAAAAAAAATCTTAAATTTCCCTTCCAAGAATTACTTACCTGTAAAAACACTTGTGGAAAGTCATTGAGGACTGACTCAAGAAGCTCAAGTCCAAACGTCCGGGTCATTTCTGTCATACCCACGAGCCAGTAGGGAGCATCAGCATTAACTAACTGGCAAAGATCCTTAGAAAGGAAAGCATTAGCTGTTACAGTCTCTTCACAATCCTTTACTGGGATAAAGTTTCCAAGTTTTCTGAGTCTACAACGAAATCTAAACCCCCTCCCTCCTTTGTGATGAGTAATTGTCCAATTTCAAGTTTGTTTTTCCTCAAATACTCCTTTTACATAAAACATTAAGCAAAAAAAAAGACTTTTAAACAAATTTTAAACTTTGGTTGTATCCTCGTA